ACGTAAAAATCCGTCCAAAAACTCGAGGTTGAAAAAATCATGATTTCTATACTTTCCTTATCTGTATACAGATAGGAAAGAAAAACAAATGTTCTTTTCTAGTAAGTTAAATTTAATGTGTAATTATTATTGTTTGTAATTTAGGATTGATGACTGTTGAATGGGGATGATGCTGCTGGCTACATCCTCATTACGAGTGCCAGTTCTTAGACTGGCCACAGCTCGTATCTTTTGGTTTAACACCAGCTGCGTCAATAAAAAAAAACTGCGAACTTTTGTACTCTTATATTACCATGAACAGGAACAGGAACACAACAATTATTTTACAACTATATTTTCTATTATCTAACACAGGGTTTTGAATGTAAAAAAATGAGATTATAAGAATAACTTGAACTGCGTTGAGTCTGTAGAAATTCTTACCAGGCTTGATGACTACAAGTTGAGATGGATCGATGAAAGAAGGTCTTCTTCTGTGGCTATACTTAAACTAAGCTGAGTGATGTGAGTTGTGAATTGATTTCTCCTTGTTTTCTTTAGTTTTACATCTGATTTATATCCCGTTTTATAACATGGTACAAAATAAAATCTTGCTTTGATGTTTTTTGTCACTCATGTTACTACTTGTACTCAGGTACTTTTTTTCACAATATTTTGATTCCTTTCACCAATTTAAAAAAAAAACACTACTTAACATTAACTTACACAGAAAATTAACGGTACTGACGTTCGACCTGCCAACTGCAGTCAATTTGGCGAAGTTTATAAAAAGGACGGAAATTTGAAAATTAACTATTGCCGATTCGCCTCCTTTTCTCTAGTCTTCATAGCCGCTCGCAATGCGACCCGCTTTGAGCAATTTATATAACCACTTGTACATTTTTTATAAATTGGCAGGCTTGGCGACTACTATTTCTAATAAAAATAACGTCCAAGATGGAACGCTATGTCGCAACCCTTTTAGATTTACTAGCCCTTTCCACCGGAAGCACATACTTTGATTTTCTCTTACTATACGGAGAATGGTCGCACTGCGCAGCTTTCTGAGTGCCTTTTAAAAGGAGATAGAAAACTCCGCCATTTTGATGCCTTATTACGTGTTGCCTACATCTTGGCGCAATATTTTTAATAGGTGTGTTTTAATCATCCTCTTTTGCTTCGGAATTGTCGGTTTTCTTTGTTTTAATCTGACAGGTTAAAACGACTGTCAGTGTCACAGAATATTATTTTTGGAGTCACAGTTTATTGCTAAAGAATCAGTTAGCTCACTTGGACCAGTTGAAAGTTCCAAAATAACATCCACTCCAGGGATACAAATTCAGGATGCGCAGAAGACTGCTGTTTTATTATGAGCGGTTGTCATATATTGTATTATCCGAGTTGCCCAGTGTATAAACCGCCAATCGGAATACCAAACCAAAATCTTCTTCAAAGATATCACTTTTTAAGACTCATAAAAAGACGTGAATACCATTGTTATGTGTTAGGTTTCAAAATTGTTAACGGTTTAATTGATTCTCCTGAACTGTTGAGAAAAATTGATATCTGTATTCCAAGAGTATCCTCTAGAAATTCTAACATATTTCACATATCTGTACCTCGCACAAATGTTCTGAAAAATTCTCCATTTCATACTATTAGCCGCGTTGTGAATAGTGTGAGTAGTGACATTGATATCTTCTCATGCAAACTCAGGGAAATAAAATGTCATTTCCTAACATAAAAAAAAATTGTATTGTATTGTATTTTACCTACTAGCTGTTTACTAATTTTTGTATATTTTGTACCACTTAGTCTATATAATGTATGTGTTCTTTTATTCCTGCTCTGTAATTGGGAATGCCTGTAGAGCATTGTAATAAATAAATAAATAAAATAAATAAACATTGAGATCAAAAGTGATGACCCAGAGTGAGTGAACTGATTCTTTAGCTATAAACTGTGGTAAAGGCACTGATCTGTATTATTTTACTGGATAAGATATAGCCCCCTGAAAAACGTTCCGAAAAATTGGCCGATTTGGGCAAATAATTATGGCGGACCGGATGTTATTTATCATAACCTCTATTTCCATTTGTCATTTAATTGTGTCAAGAAGTTATGATGAAGACGTGTTTTTATTGTGGAAAACGAAGTAAAAAGAGTATCCGTACTCTTCATAGGTAAATAAAACAATAATATTTATAATAATTTATTAATAGATCTAACTATTTTGTAGAAACAAACTGAAACAATTACTATTTTACACATTATGATGAATACAAATAACATTTTTCGATTAAATGAGAAAATTGAAGTGAATTATAACGAATATTACTAAATTAAATAATGTTCTTGTTATTTTAGGTTTCCTACAGAATTGGAGCTTTTGGGAAATGGGTGAAGAGTATGTATATGAACAATTTTAATGTTGTAAGTGCAGGAATGCGATTATATTGATAAAACACAAACGAATTGGTAATGCTTTTAAAATTATTACTTTATATCGTTTTTACATTAATAAAAATATTACAAGAAATATAAATGTTTATGTTTTCACCTTTTCCCATGATTTCCTTTATTTTATTTAAAATATATAAATCTAATTTGCATGATTGTAAAAATTATGTAAAGCCTTTAAATTTCTTCTTTATTTAATTGTAAATTACATTCGAATAGTCTACACAAAATTTAAGTCATAACAGTATTTTCCTTAGAACAATTTTTGAATACATATATTTATGAGTGGCACAAATTTCAATGTGGTTGGTATAGTGTAAAAATGGTTAGAGAGACAACAAAAAGACCACATATTAAACCTGGAAAAGTAAAAAATATTAATTAAAATTTCTAACAGTGGTAATAATAATTAGTAAATTTTGTTAGCTTTCCTAGACAAGTATAGGTAATTTAAAATATATTTCAACATCTATATTGTTAACATTAACTTTGCAATTATAAACTACCTACTTACATTATCTAACAAAATTCTTAATATTAATCATGTGTCTGAAAACACCACTAGATCAGTTCCAATTCTAATTGCTTTACTTGCATGTATCCATATTGTTCAGTTAAACATTTTCACAGGTATTGTTTAGATCTTTTACATCTTTTAACCATATTTATATCCCTGTTCTTCCTGTTGTAACAATGGCTAACTCACCGATTCTCGTTTCATACTTGTTCTCTAAAGTGATTCGACCATCTATGTAGTTCTAGCTCGAGGTTATTATTTCTATTACGAATATCTCCTTTTAGTTGCAGTCCCCATAAGTTATAAAACATCCCTAGTGCAGTTTTAAGAATAAACTTTCATTCATGAAGACACAATATGCTCACGTTTTCATATTTATATTTTCTTTCATAAAAAATCAAATTATGGGTGAATTGTCCCGAAGGACATTATCTGCGAAATGAATTATAGGTTAGAGTCAAATTATCCCCCTATAATTTGCCCAAATCGGCCAGCAGTGTTACACTTCTGGTCTCCTTGATGGAACGGATTTTTAGTATGTCAAATATAGCCTATATCCTATCCAGTAAAATAATACAGATCAGTGGTCAGTTCCCACTGGCAGCATTTTGACAGGTTGTTGCAATGCCTAATACCTGCCAGTGGGAAGGTCTCATATATCTAAGGGGATAATCTTGCATCTTGGACGCTAGTTTTATTCAAAATATCAGTCGCCAATCCTGTAATTTTTTAAAAAAAATGTACAAGCAGTTTTTTTAAATAATATTTTTGTGTTCGACATAAAATATTTAAATGTAATCCATTATTCATGATTTTACATATTGTAGATAGAATAAATACATTGTATGTCGCAACTGTTAGATATTCCAAACCTTCCCACTGGCATTTCAGTTGTTTGGAATGCCTAATTGGTTGACAAGTCGTTGCAGTGCCTAATTATACGCTGGACATAGGTGTACATTTTTCCAATACTTAATTACTTTATAAACATTTTTTATTGATCATTCCTTACTACCAATAATGCCAAAAAGGGGAATCTGGGACAAATGTTGCATTGAAAATATACTGAATACCTAAACTAAAAAAAATATATTCTGATTTAGGAAACATCAAATATTTTTGAACCCCAATAATACAACCATCATCTCTGTATAATTACAAAACAGCAGTCAATAAACTGACTCTCCCAATATACAACAATAAATGTCTGATAAAAATAGTTTTAGAACAGAACTAATCTTTTAAATAAAACTATTTTAGTTATTTAAGGTATATATAGAACCATAATTTCCACCCCTAATTACATACCTAGGTACTATATATCAAATTAATATAATAGAGGAATAACATTGCCTATATATGCCTAGGTGAGTGTACAAAATAAATTGTTGTTATTTAGTGAATTCAACAATTTAAAATATTCCTTTGTATTAAAAAAAAAATATAAAGTTTATACATGGCAAAATTCCTAAAGTTATTGTTATTAAATTACTCTCATGCCAGAAACGTAATTTTTGTATACCTATTTTGACAGTTTAGGTACATATATTGAGGTAGTCTAGAAAAATAGCTATCCAAAAATACCTAATTTTAAAATACATTAAAATGCAATGAAACAATAATTGTATTTTAATTGTTAGTAAACAGTTTTTCGAGACATACGAAAGATTGTTTAACTACTTTGATAAGTACAGTAAGTCAGTCGGGGCAAGTAATTAGGATTCCGTTTAGGTAATACATCAACTAAAGGCATAACGAAAGCCTTGAAGGCGAAATTTATGGCAGCAAATAATCACATGATTGTATAAAAGGAGGTTGAATCAAAACTTAAAACTGCATTCCAGTTACCCTTTTTTTGGATTATACCCACAACTGTTTCTGTCCTTCTCTCAACCCGCCCCAATTATATCAAAAAATGCGATCAAATCGTCGTAAAAGCGACCATATGCGTTTAAATGGCAAAATAGATTAATCCCGGCCACGGCCAACCCGATTAAATACACAAAAATCAAAATACAGCCAACTGTGCGATGTATGTACTTACCTCTCCGCTTTCAGCGGCTGGAGAATCGTCTAAAATATTGTAAATGATCGGCGGCAAACCTGGTTCGCCTAATAATGAAAATCCAAAGCCCGAGTGTTCACTCCGATTCAGAACCACCAACAATTCCTCAGCCATTTTCTGTTACTACCATTGATTTGTTTAATCAAAACAAAACAGTTCACGGATTACAATTCACTTGTCGCGACATAACCTCCCCTTCGACTGATTGGTACTGATGAGCTGGCGTTAGGGGGCGACACATTACGGGAGACCACTTCACCTGCGCACTGGGCCAATCAACTACCGTCCATCGTCTGCGATACGTACGTAGAAGAAAAAAAATATGGGAATGAGACACACGGCAACGCGGCGGACGCGGTCTCCCTTTGAAATTTATTATTTTCCCACTTCCATAATTTCGTAGAATAATAAAGTTGAGTCAGAATCCAGGATCGGTTCAGCCTTTATCTTGTCACATGAATATTAACATAACCAAGTTAGGTGTATTTATTGCAAAAAGAATATATTTGGTTTTGATACTGATTAATTCGAATTGAAATCATTGAGCAAAGGTGTAGATGAACCGAAAGATGAACGTGCAATACTTTAATTTTAAAATTGACTTCATAAGTGTCAAATACACTCGAGTCTACACTACTATTAAAAATGTATACAATTTTTACTGGAATACTACTACTACTACTACTACCTACTTATTATTATTATTTCATTAATCCTTTTTTTATTTAACTTTATTTAATATAGTCTTCTAGAAATGTACATAAAATTTGTTATCTGAATATATATGCCGCCATTATGCCGCATTTGAGAATCCACATCGGATGCATTTTTTACATCTCGAATGTTTTTTAATCCACATCGGACACATCTGTCCTATTACATTTACGTATACTGAATCACGTGATCAAAGATTTACTACATCCCAGATGCATCAGATGTGGATTCTCAAACGCGGCAATAATACATATCTTTCATGCAACGATAATACTTATAAGGTTCTATATTCGCTCCGTGCGTGATGACAGCGCCAACTAAAATATGTACTAAAGGCACAGAATAACCACTCTAAAGGTGGAATTTTCGTGTATAGACAGTATCATTTTAAATATAATTCGTATTAAAAAAAGTATTTTTTGGTTTTAATAAAAGTATATATAGTGAAAAGATTCATTTATAATTATTATATTACTTCAACTAAAGAAAAATAAGTATATTTAATAAAAAAAATTATTAAAACATGTGCACAGAATAGGTAATTAGGCAACAGTATTTACTAGAAAGTATTATGAAAAGTTGCCTAATGAAGTTAAATTAATGGCAAACATGAATTTAAAATTTATTAAAAAAAAAAAAAAATAGTTGTAATATTGTAATATTTTCGAATGTAATAGGTATGTAATAGGTATAATAGATAATACTTGTTTTCTTCATTTTTAGCTTGAAAGAAAATATATAATTAATTATTATTAGATAAGTGTTTTCCAGTCAGTCAGACGCAAATTTGCATTCCAAATACAGACTATAATTAATGGAATGCTGAAATATTTCCTTTTTGAACATGTAATTAAAAAATTTTGAAGAACATCGTAAAATAATAATAATAATTTAAGTACATAAGACCCTTCAGTTTTCTGATGGCTACTATTTTCAATAGGTATTAGATATTCTATTGTTACAAAAATAAAGGTTTGTAATTAATTTTCCCTTCTTGCTGCAATTATAGGTACGTTTACTTCTTCCATTTAATTTCCATTTTGTTAACTAAAATTTAAACTGTTTTTTGCTACTACAAATACAATTTACAACAAAGCAACTCATTGCTCATTGTTTTGCTTTTAACTATTTTTTTTTTTAATAAATAAATAAATAAATAAAATATATACGTATATTTGATACGCCAACATGACAAAATATCGCCCTAAAATGCACGAATTATCCGCAGCTAGCGCCAGTATCGCTTTTGCTTTCATTACCATGACTTCGCCCGGATCGAATAATAGGTACATGTTGGGTATTCACAGTAAAAAATGATAATCTCAATTGGGGTTACATTCTTTATTGTACCTCCTTCTGTTTGCTAAGTAGTCTCGATCAGAGCTGGGAGTACTCGAGTAAATTGTACTCAATAAGTACTCAAAATTGTAGTCGAATACTCAAAGTACTCAGTAATTAGCACTTTCCTGATGGGACTCCGTACTCCAAAAATTTCAAGTACTTTTCATTTCAAAGTACTCCTGATTTCTCTAGCTGACAAGTAACGAGAGAACCAGTACCGACGCGCGAATATATATTATAATGGCTTCACCCCGAAAATATTATAAAACATTCCAATATCTTAGAACGTTTAGGGCAGTGGCTTCTTACAAAAATTTGAAAAAAAAAAATTAAAAATAATACTATTTGATACATTTTTAATTTGAAAAAAATCTAATCTTTCGCTTTGCTGTTTTCTTCTTACTCCCGGTTTTTCTACTTTCTGCTCTAACTCCTGACTTTCCTATACCTCCTGTTGTCCTACCTGGTTTCCGCTTGCTATTTTCCTCTACTTTCTCCTCCTTCTGCTGAACTCTCCTTCCTGCTAATCTGCTCATAAATATTGTGACGCCAAGTTGACTCTGTACCCTACCCGCGATGGGAAGTCTAGCGCTGGCCATATCGAGACCCATCTCGAAACTCGAGAAACCCATTCGAATGTTTTCCATCGCAGTCTTACGCGTGTATAGGATAATTTCTAGAACTTCCAGAATGAGCTTCTAGTCAGAGTTAGTTCTTTCGAGAGCGTTACATTTTTATATAAATAGCCGCGATTTTGTCGATAGAAAAAGATTTAATTTAAGGGTTAGATAGTAATAATCAATTGATTAAAGCCCTCGAGCTAAAAAGCTCTCGGGCTTCTATATCAGATTATTGATGCCAAAAATAATGTCTCATCAAATTCATATTAAAATATTCTCGAGATTTAGATTAAACAAAAATAGCTGACTATTATCAAGGTCCTTGGTATATATTACCCTTGATTATTTTCCTCGACAGTCAACGTTGACATTTTAACCAATCACGTCGCAATTTACGTTATCATTAGAATCAAACAGAATAAAAAAAAAAAATATTTTCACTGACTATTAAAAACATTATTTATTTTAACGGATTCCCTTAAAAATGGCAGGAGAACACTTGACAACATCGCATTTAAGATTTATTTGAACTAGTTTGAAAACATAACCATAAAAATCCTCAATTTTCAATTCAAAACAGTTCAAAATTAAAGGCAAATTTTAAAATCCCTTTATAAATTATTGTTATTTGAAGACTATTTTAACGGAATCCGTTTAAATAATGACAGAAGTAAGATAGTGAATACGAAAATATTTTTAAAGGCGGACAAGATTTTAACGGCCGTTAAAATATAAAGGAATTGTTACAGAATAGACCCCTGAATATAATTTTATTTTTTTGAATTTATTAATGTTATTTAAATTCGTAGATTCTGTATAAGTTTTTTAAAAAGTGTTTATTTTTAGTCACTGTGTATTTTTGTCTGTAGCGCGACACCGTGGTAGCGACAAAGTAGCGACAATGGCAGATGTCGGTGAGGCAACACTGCTGACCATCTGACATTGACAATATTGACATTTATTTAAAAAGAACGAACAGCGAGTGAACAACAAACTGTAAATTGCAGTTACACTTTTTCAAATATTTATAATGAACGATCTATTATTGAATGATACTTTTGAAAATTTTAATTTTACTGCAAACGTCAATATATCTAACACATTCGCAGGTATAAATTTGAAGACTTTAAGTCAAAAAAGTACGATTAAAAATGATATAAAGATGAAAAATCAAATCAATGAAATATCATTCGACGATTCGATATTTCTTACTCAAATATCTTTTTCGGAGCATGGAAAATCTATCGACAATGAGGACGACTCTCCAAAATTACAGGCTGAAAAAGTATCGATTGAAGAACAAAGTGAAAATAAAGAAAATTTACCATGTCTTGAAAATTTAAAACGTACAGATAAAAATGAACATTTTGATGAAGTCAACGAAAGTAAAAACATTGAAATTGGTAATGTTCAAGAAAATATTAACAAACTATCCTTCTGGGGACTGCCCGAAAACGTTTTACAAAAATACGAATCAAAAAACTTAACAACGATGTTCCCTTGGCAAGTAGAGTGTTTGAGCCAAAACGAAGTCTTAAACGGTAGGAATTTAGTCTATTCAGCCCCTACTTCGGCTGGAAAAACTTTAGTAGCTGAAATACTAGCAATAAAAACTATACTGGAATCAAAGAAAAAAGTGATTTTTATTCTACCATTTGTATCTATAGTTAGAGAAAAGATGTATTATTTTCAAAACTTGTTAGAAACCAGTGGTATTCGAGTAGATGGTTTTATGGGATCTTATAATCCCCCTGGTGGCTTTGGAGCTGTTCATTTAGCTATTTGTACTATCGAGAAAGCAAATAGTTTAATGAATAGATTGCTAGAAGAGGACAGGTTGAGTGAAATTGGAGCTGTACTTATAGATGAAATGCATCTGCTTGGAGATTCCAGTAGAGGATACCTCTTGGAACTGCTTCTAACAAAATTAAGGTAGGATAAATGTAATAATAATAATAAAAGTCAGTAGATCATTTTTACACAAAAATATAAAATTAAAGAATAAACTATATAATGCCATCAGCTAGCCACTCTTATCATTCTTTGAAAGGATGAAGCAAGCTGGTATTATTTTGAGCCCATAAATCCATGGTGTAGTCTGAATAAAAGAGGAGTGTAGCAGAAGTGGGGATATAATGTCACATTCCATAGGCGTACTTTCGAAAATAAATTTCTATAATATAAATAAGGTCACAGCATATAAAATGGTATATTCACACTTAGAAGATTAAATTTTGAATGAAAAAAGTTATATTATTTATAAAAAATAAACCTTATGCTTCTGACAAAATTGTGTGAAGGTTCACACGCTGTGAAAAATTTTAAACTGTATTTCTTCCCCATATTTGTATAAATATATTGACTGTACCAGAAGATGAAAAATGTTTTTCCGAAACATATGTAGTGCTTAATTAATAAAAACTGTTAATTGAATAAACCTAGGAACTTTTTATTTATATAAAATTCTATTATGATCAGGAAATTATCCTTATTCTTTAGTAATGTTATACAAAGTCTTTTCAAAGATTATTAAATACTTTAAGTACAATATTTTTTTTTTTTTCAAGATAATGATTTATGTCCACTAGGTTGTTTACACGTACTTGTGCTTGCAATATTTTCTAATGCACTCATCATTTTTATATAACTGTAAAATTATAATACTAATAAAAAATTTCCGAATCAATTAAAATACATATACGGCTATGAATAAATAAAGTCTGGAAACCATGGAAACATGATTAAATCTAAAGAAAAACTTTTTTTAAGTCAGTCAGATGTATTAAAATTTTAATTTTAACTACAAATACAAAGGATGAGTTATAAATAAAATGTCTACCTCTTGAACATTCTGCAAATTAAATTACTACACTCCCTTCTTCTCTAGAATATAGCTCCATGCACACACAATTTCCGGACACCCTGTATAATACTTTTCACTGGTGTCTCACATCCTTATTGGTACTATTTCTATTTAAATTTTAAGGGTTGTTCACCCCACTTTTCGAGGCTTGCCAATGCTGCAATTAGAAAAAAATCGACTTGTAGGAGCGTTTTTTGGTTTTTTGCTTCAATACGAAAAATCCTTTGTAAAAAGTTTTTGGTGGCCTACCCTGTATAATAATTGTAAATTTGTGTCAAAAAAACTCTGGTTGATAGCCCTTTGGGAGTATCCATTAAATATATTTACAGTTTTTTCATTTGACTAAATAAATGATTTATTTTAAATTATTTTTGATTTTGACAGTACCTATCAAGGATTTAAAAAATTCAGAGAAAAGTTGCTTATCTTTGGATTTTTCGTTTTTTGCTGACAATGAAATATGCTTCTGGACATTCAACAAATAAAAAATCCTTTTCCAATCATTTTATGCCGTCAGATTTTGCTACTTGACTTGTAAGAATTTCGGCAACATGACCGGATTTTTAAGTTTTATTCAGTAGTTTAAACATAGAACCTTCTATTCACTCCAGATTTTCTAGAACAAAATTTCAAAATAGTCTCCTTTATGACCTTCCTTCCCCTATTGCAGTATTAGCCAAGGAGTAGTTGTTTTCAGGAGAGAAACAGCTGCTCTTTTTTTTGTGACACATGGCTTTGCGTTTCTATTTTTTCTGTCACATCTTGGTCACATTTGAGTTTGTTATTATTTCCTTTTTAGTTTATTTGTAATATTTTAGCACACAATTATTTAATGGACTTAGTTTTAATTTAGTCTAGTGGTTTTATTTATTATTTCAGATATATTTCTAAAAAAGACAACCTATCTATCCAGATAATCGGTATGTCTGCGACGCTTCCAAACCTTAAAGAAATAGCAACATGGCTAGATGCAGAATTATACACCACCGATTATCGTCCGATTCCATTGAACGAACAAGCTCAAGTTTGTGGTGAAATTTACAATACAGATATGAAACTCGTAAGGAAATTAAATATTTTAAAAGAACTGAAGACCGATTCCGATAATATTCTGCAATTGTGTCTCGAAACTATCCAAGAATCATGTTCAGTACTAATTTTTTGTCCAACTAAAAATTGGTGCGAGAATTTGGCGCAACAGGTCGCTACAGGCTTCTTTAAAATAGGTACCTAGTAACAGTATCATGTTCACATGTTTATATTTATTAATATATTTTTTTTTTAGGAAGTTCTACCGGTTATTGGTCAGATCTTTTACGTTCACAGCTTGACACCAATCTGATTATTGAACTGTTGGAGCAATTGAAATATTGTCCAGTAGGACTGGACGAGATTCTCCAAAAAACCGTTTCATTTGGTGTCGCTTTTCACCACGCCGGCCTCACCATGGACGAAAGGGACATCATAGAGGGCGCTTTTCGTAACGGTGCCTTAAGAGTTCTCGTGGCAACGTCGACGTTATCGTCGGGAGTAAATTTACCTGCTAGAAGGGTCATCATTAGGACGCCGATCTTTCATGGAAAACCTTTAGGTAGAGTAAGGCTTTGATCAAGAGTTGTCGGAATTTTTCTTTTCACTAATTTTCAAATCATCTTTGTACCAACTTTTTCGATAATGGGTTAATGACTGCGTTTTTTCGAGTTTTGTATAGGAATTAGGAAACTCAATTTTGAAACGACATGCCAATGTGATATCGAGTGCATTATATCCATGATTCATATTCCTAAAACTTGGTTTTTGTCTATATCATCTATGGTTGAGAGAGAGAGAGAGAGAGAGAGAGAGAGAATGTTTATTTTCCAAGTTAGAATACTTATTGTCGCACAAAGCCAACCCTGAGCTTTGTTTACCCAATGCTTCGAAAAGTCGCCGGAAAGATGTATTTGCGGCGTATGAGTCATATAGAGGCATTTCTCAATCGTTCTGGGTAGCCTAGAGTGTTCTGGTACAGAACTAGCTTTATATAAATAGCGCAAGTTTGTCGACGGACGGGAAGATTGAATTGAAGTGCTGTATCGAAAAGATAAATTGTAATAAATTAAAATTGTGAGTTGTAATAGTGCCTAAGTATTATATAAATGAATTAGTATGTTATAAATAAATTATAAATAAAGTGTTTTGAATAAATAAACTATAAATAAATTAAACAAACGTTACATTATTGACAAACACAAACGATATTACACAATTTAAAAATATAAATAAATAGAGGCTTTAAATACATATATACATTATTCTAAAGTAAAATAAACACATACAAATCTAAAATATTGAATCTCGCGGCTTTAATCATTCAAAGCATGCCTGCATTTTTAGCTGTATACTAATTTTCCTCATATGGTAATATATCAGTTTTGTTATCTAAAAGTCTGCATGATTCTTTGAACCGACAATACGTCACAGTCTGAGCAGATATAGGTAAAAAATAACGTTCAAATACTCAAGTATGTTTAGTTTATTTCAGAGATTGGTGTGTAAACAAATCTAATTTATCATTGATATAATATTAATATTTCGGTAGCCTTTTCGTCAAATTTACGATAACTTATTTATGCTTGGACATAAATGTTGCAGATTCTTTAGTCTACCGTCAAATGATCGGTCGAGCTGGACGTATGGGTAGAGATACCGTAGGCGAAAGTTTCTTGATCTGTCAAAAAAACGATTTCAACATAGCGAAAACCCTTATGTCGGCTTCATTGGCGCCCATCAAGAGTTGCCTGGAAACGGCCGGTAAGCTCAAAAGAGCCATATTGGAGGTGGTAGCTAGCGGAGTCGCGTCTACTCCACAGGACGTACGGTTGTTTACGGAAAGTACTTTGTTGGCTTTCGAGGACGGCGATATCGAGGAGTTGAATAATCCTATCGACGAGGCTATGGCTTTTCTGCGGATCAACGAGTTTGTAAGGTTGCAAAAGCTGGAGGATGGTAGCGAGTCGTACGTGCCGACATCTTTGGGTATGTTCTCGAATGTTTAAAATTATAAATGGTTAGTAATAACATTAATCTTTAATTGCCTTATAAAATACAAAATTTTATAGTTTAAAATCAAAAATGTTATGTATATTAACTAAAGTTAGATCTCGGTCACAAAAAAAAAAGAATTTTGTACTTTTTATCCAATACGGTGCATTTTAGGTATATTTTGTATAAAACAATAATTTATTTAACGTCGCGAAAAACTTTTATCTAATCATAAATAACTGAAGTATACCAAAAAGTAGAAAAACGACTACTTATAAAGTACTCTTCAGTTGCTGCAAATTCTAGTCAGCTCTTCATGGACCTCTGAAAACCCTATATTTTTAATTCAATCGAAATCGGCCGGATAGCTTGGGCTGTAATGTGCTCAAAAAAAAATTGTTTTTAACTTTTCATCAAATTTCTCCACTCCGGTCATTTTAGCGACATAATGTATACAACAAAAATTATAGATAATAATATCACGGTAAGCTTTTATCCGAAGAATTTTTGTCTCCAATCATAAAAAACAGAAATATATCAAAAAGTAGAAAAAAAGAAAATCGGTTCACGAACAGAAGAGAAAATGGTACTGAATTATTTTGTATTTGTCTATTTATATGATCATTTTTAAAGTGCGATCTTAAATTGTGCCCCCTTTTAAATACTAAACCAAAATACGACATTCTGGCTCTAAAAAAAGCATTTTTATTTAGGTAAAGCTTGTCTGTCATCTTCAATTGCTCCAGACGAAGGACTGTCGCTTTTTACTGAACTAGAAAAGGCCAGACAATGTCTTGTACTAGAAACTGAATTACATTTGGTCTACCTAGTAACTCCCTACAGCGCCTGCTATTCCTGGGCGAACATAGACTGGATGTTGTACCTTAATATTTGGGAAAAATTGCCCGCTAACATGAAAAAGGTATTTTGGCTTTGTTTTTCTGTAGCTGACTTTCTGTTTTGATAATTAATTTATCACCTGTCCACAATAATTTTGTCCTAACTCCATTATGTAATTTTTTATAGAAAAAGGAAATTATGTAATGCATATACCTGTATTAGCGAGAATATTTGAAGTATGTAGCTTTGTTACCTTAGTATTTTATTACTAAGCTTCTGTCAATCCTATTTGCACCAAAATTTAGGATATTTCATTACGCTACACCTCAGAGAGATCTATGATCCTCTAAAAATTTACATAATGGAGTTAGAACAATATTATTCTGCACAGGCGTTTTGTCTATGGCAGACTTTTAACTATACATTTAAGGTAGGAGAATTGGTTGGCATCAGAGAAGCTTACATAGTAAATGCCACGCGAAATAAAGTCCAATCCAGCACAGGGACAGCTTTCCACAAATATTTGATACACAAACGATTTTTCGTTGCGCTAGCTCTCCAGGATTTGGTTAATGAAAAAGCGCTCTCTTGGGTGTGTCAAAAGTTCAATTGCAATAGAGGTATAATATATTCTTCTTTCTTATACGTCAATTTCCATTTTTATCTAACAAACGAATACCTTGTAGGTATGCTGCAGTCTTTGCAACAGTCGGCTTCGTCTTTTGCAGGAATGGTTACTGCTTTTAGCAAGCAACTGGGCTGGACTAGCTTGGAACTGTTGTTAGCACAATTTCAAGATAGGATGCAGTTTGGTGTCAGCAGGTAAATCTCTCTAGGCACTGTCGGTTATCCCGTAAAACCATATTTGTGACCAAACCGTTTTTTCTCCAGAGATCTACTGGATCTAATGCACCTGTCGGTCATGAACGGCAAAATGGCGCGATCCTTATACAACGCCGGCATCGAAACAGTCATCCAATTAGCAAACTCGGACGTATGCGACATTGAAAACACATTGCATCGAGTGGCTCCGTTCGAAAGTGATAAAGACAGAGAAGGGGAATCAGATTACGATAAAAAACAAAGGAACAAGTACAGGAACGTTTGGATAACCGGTAGAGAGGGTTTGACGGAACGCGAGGCGGCTGAGATTTTCGTAACAGAAGCCAGAAGGTATTTAAAGATCGAAATGGGATTGGTCGATGCTAAATGGAAGAATACCGATGAGGATGTTGAAGAAACTCATGAGTTGGAAGTAAGATTAAATAGAAATATTAACTAAATCGAAGATGTTGAAATTTTCCAATTTTTAGGTAAATAACGTAAATATAGTAAATGGTACAGTTGGTGTAAAAATTGCAGAGAAAATAACAGAAAATAGTGATCAAAGCAAATCAAATAATGAAAAAATTCTTACAGAAAGCAATGATAACAATCTTAGCGATGATAAAATTCTTTTAGAAAGCGATGATAAAATGCTTACAGAAAGTATTGACAATCAAAGTAATAATATCAATATTGAACTACCTCAGAATGATAATAAAACGACTGTAAATACGTATTTTTCTGATGACTCTTCGATGTTTTCAACCAATATGAACATATCTGATACTTCAAGCATATCGAATACAGATTCTACCAAAATAGAAGACGACATTGAAGAACATAATTTCATCAAACAAACGCCCAATAGATTATCGGAAAAATTTGAAAAATGTACCTTGGACTCGCCTAAGCGAGTCTCAACAACTAATACATATGATAAGAAAAATATGAATAATTTTATAAAAGACATTTCCATGTCCGATTTTTCCGATACTCTCTCTGAAAATAGTTCAAATCTTGCTTCATCAAAATCTACCGATGTATCTATGTTGATCAAACCGTCTGCAGTAGAACTTAACATATCGGGTTCTTCTCTGCGATCGAATTTGAACATTTCTCTGGATAAAATGCAGTCGGATCGAAGTTTGTTTGAAGAAAGCTTTTCTTTGCAGCTGTCTGATAACAATTTGTCGAAGGATAGCGCTTTAGGCGGTTCAAAAGATAAGAATTCGGATTCTGAATCAAAAAATGTCGTTCAGAATGCTTTCGGCGAGTCGCTTCAATCGGACGACGATATTTTTTGCAATTCTTTCGATGAAGAGTACGAAAGTACACAATTTTCTGCGAAAAAACGGAAAAATGGCTGTTTGGAGGAGAATAAGTCGTGTAAGAAGTTTAAAAATGAGGAGGAGGATACCGGTGCACCAGGTGAGTGTGATGTAGTACTTATATACAAAATAAATATTAATACATTTTAAATATGAGCAGTTCAAGATATGAATACGACGTATATCACAAATAAACTGGAAAATCAACCAGGTATAGATTTCAGCAAAATGGAATTAGTGAATGTTTGTCAAGAATTGACGCTTTTAGAAGCATTTAGTAAGGAACTTAAAGAATTAGCTAGTTTCTCCTTTTCTATAGCATGTAGTAAATTTGTAGAACCTAAAGCAACAATAGGAATGAATATTTTAAAAACCCAGGGGTAAGTAAGGTTTACTGAATTTATTCTCTCCTTATTAATTTATCAATTTTATATATCAGTATCCTGCTATCCTGTTAATATATAGATGGATGGATGGATGGATGGATGGATGGATGGATGGATGGATGGATGGATGGATGGATGGATGGATGGATGGATGGATGGATGGATGGATGGATGGATGGATGGATGGATGGATGGATGGATGGATGGATGGATGGATGGATGGATGGATGGATGGATGGATGGATGGATGGATGGATGGATGGATGGATGGATGGATGGATGGATGGATGGATGGATGGATGGATGGATGGATGGATGGATGGATGGATGGATGGATGGATGGATGGATGGATGGATGGATGGATGGATGGATGGATGGATGGATGGATGGACGGATGGACGGATGGACGGATGGTTGAATGGATGGGTGGATGGTTGAATGGATGGGTGGATGGTTGAATGGATGGGTGGATGGGTGGATGGGTGGATGGGTGGATGGGTGGATGGGTGGATGGATGGATGGATGGATGGATGGATGGATGGATGGATGGATGGATGGATGGATGGATGGATGGATGGATGGATGGATGGATGGATGGATGGATGGATGGATGGATGGATGGATGGATGGATGGATGGATGGACGGATGGTTGAATGGATGGTTGAATGGATGGGTGGATGGGTGGATGGGTGGATGGGTGGATGGGTGGATGGATGGATGGGTGGATGGATGGATGGATGGATGGATGGATGGATGGATGGATGGATGGATGGATGGATGGATGGATGGATGGATGGATGGATGGATGGATGGATGGATGGATGGATGGATGGATGGATGGATGGATGGATGGATGGATGGATGGATGGATGGATGGATGGATGGATGGATGATGGATGGATGGATGGATGGATGGATGGATGGATGGATGGATGGATGGATGGATGGATGGATGGATGGATGGATGGATGGATGGATTCAGATCTAATTATCTATCACGTAATAAAAAATTTACAACATCTCATATGTATCCGATGTGGATATTAAACGCGGCATAAGGGCAAAAAATCTTAAAATCGTGATTTAAAGCCGTTTGTAACATTTTTTCCTTGACTAAACACTCCATAGATCTGGAAATAGTAAAAAATATAATTAAAGCAACCCTCGATTATTCGATTAGCGGATTTTGGAACTGTTTTACTATCATTGTTAAATATTTTATAAACCAGGAAATAAATGCAAAATAATGTAACATTAAGATAACAACGATTTTCTTTGAACACACTTTTAAGAAGTTTTCGTTGACTAAAACATTTCATAGACCAGGAAATAATAGAAAACAAAATTAAAATAACACTTCGATTTCTAAATCCTGTACCATTTTTAGATTTTTTGTACTATTATTTTTATATCTTTAATAAACCAGGAAATAAGCACAAAAATGTAACATTAAAATAGCATTTGAATATATTTTTATCAACTTTTGCTGGTATATTATTTACTAAACATTCCATACGATACCAGAGGGAAAAATCAGCTGATCCAAACGAGAAATAGAATAAACATGTCCCGAACAACAGGCATTTCATTCTATAATGCACTTCCGCCCCACATCCGTAATCTACCAGGAAAAAAGTTTAAACATCAAATTAAAAAGATATTACTGGACATGTGTCTATATAACACTAACGATTATTTTGTAAGACTGAAAATATGTCACCTAATATTTTTAATATTGTATTTTTTTATATACTTTTTATTACTATTACCAACCATGATCTTTTAAAATCCTATTTTATTTTAAATTTTATACGAGTATGCTGTACGTTAATGTATGTAAAATGTGGTGTATTTTACCATGTATGTGTACTGACGACTATGTAAACATGTTTATGTATTACTGAGAATAAATACTTTACCTTACATAGACCAGGAGATAATACAAAAAAACCACTTGATTATCCTAAACTTTTTTGTACGATTATTGTTAAATCTTTTATATATCAGGAAATAAAGGAAAAAAGTGTGGCATTAAAATAACAATTACGATTTAATTTGAACACTTTTAACTAGTTTTACTATTGTTGATTAAAAAATTCATAGACCAGGAAATAAAAGAAAACAAAATTAAAATGTCACTTGAGTTCATCGATTTCCAGATCCTGGAACATTTTTAAAAATGTTTTTGTACTGTTGTTAAATATTTTAGGGACCAGGAAATAAGCACAAAAAATATAACAATAAAATAACATTTAAACCTAATTTTGTAAATTTTTCTTGGTTTATCATTTATTAAACATTTCACAGGCCAGGATATACAGTAAAACATTGTAAAATTAAAATTTTAGAACGATTCGATTTCAAGCTATTGTTAACAAGTTGACTAGCATTGACTACACATTTCGTAGACCAGGGAAATAACAGAAAAAGTTTTGAAATTAAAATAACATGATTTATTTGATTTCCTGAACCTGAAACTTTTTGTTGAATGTTTTATAGACCAGGAAATAGTGTCGAAAAATTGTAAATTTTATATAAAACTTTAACTTGTTATACTAACTTTCTTATTCTATGATTGGTTCATAATCCAGAAAATAAGGGCAAAAAAATCTTAAAATCATGATTTGAAGCCGTTTCTAACATATTTTTCTTGATTAACATTGACTTCACATTTTGTGGATCAGGAAATAGGGTCGAAAAATTGTAAAATCGATATAAATCTTTTAACTTTGGTTATACTAAGTTTTCCTATGCTATGATGATTGTTAAGCTGTTCATAGTCCAGGGAATAACGGCAGAAATTCTTAATATCACGATTTAAAGCAGTTTGTAAAAAAAATTCCTTAACTATCATTGACCAGACATTTCGTAAACGAGGAAATAATAGGAAAACATTTTGAAGTTCAAATAATACTGATTTATTAGATTTCCGGATCCTGGGAATTTCATTTGTTGTATGTTTTATAGGCCAGGAAATAGTGTCGAAAAATTGTAAAATCAATATAAAACTTGTCCTGTGCTATGATAATTTTTAAGCCATTTATAGTCCAGGGAATAATGGCTAAAATCTTAAAATCATGATTTAAAGTTGTTTGTAACATTTTTTAATTGACCATCATTGACTACACATTTCGTAGACCAGCAAATAAATATGTATCACTTGATTTATTATAGTCCAGGGGGTAAAGGCAAAATTCATAAAATCATAATTAAAAGCAGTTTGTAACATCTTTTCCTTGACTATCATTGACTACACATTTCGTAGACCAAGAAATAATAGGAAAATTTTTTAAAATTCAAATAACACTTGATTTATTTGATTTCCGGATCCTTGGAACTTGTTTTGTTTAATCTTTTATAGACCAAGAAACAATGTCGACCAATTGTAAAATCGATATAATGAAGAAAGGTGTAGTATTTCGTATAAAAATCATAGTCCAGAAAACTTCTTTTTTATTAATTAAATAAATAATTTTTTTTACATATAATCCGCTTTTAGCCCAAAACTCCGTAACACTGACCGACCTGAAGATAAGCAACACTTTTCTTGCGACGGAAGAAAGATAGAAGGTTTCTCTTTCTGTTGGGAAACCAACATTGTGTATTATTTGAGTTTGGACAACGCAAAATTACACCAAAAAATTTTAAAACTCTTGAAAGTCGTATTTAAAAATGACAAAGTTAGAGTTCGGATTTTTGACGCGAAGGAACAAATTAAAGTCCTTCAGAATTGTTGCGGTATAAGTTTTTATTCGAAAATAATCGATCCCAAAATAGCTGATTGGATATTGGAACCAGAAGAAAAGGAGAAAAATTTGAAAGCTATGGTAAGGTTTAACGGAGAGCACTGCTAAAGTTCCCGGAATCGATGACTCTTTGTATTTGAAACGCTCTGCAATTGTCATATTCGTAAAGTTCGACGTTTTTAACCTATAATTCAGTTGACATTTCGATTTTAACGGCCGTATTCACCATTGTCCAGTTAAATCTGTCGAATTTTCCGTCGGGAAGTGGTTTTCCACCAATTTCGTTTTTTCCGACAAATTTCCGGAAAAGCCAAAAATTCCCTTATACTACTCGACATTTTTGACAATCTGACTGTTAGTAATATTATTATGTTCTAAGCACCATCCATTTCAGTCTATTCAGTCTGATAACGAAAAGCCATCAGAAATTAAAGTTGGTTGCCATTTGTACCTAACTTTACTTTTATTTAATTCTAAACAAAAGAAGGTTAAATTAGTTAAAAGGAAAAAAAAGCTACAAATTACACGTAAAGGGACATTTACTTTCGCTAGTAAAAAAAAATATATAAAGATAATCGAAAATAAGAGAAATCTTAGGAGTATTAAAATTTGGTTTATTTTCGTAATTGATTGGTTTCCGTTCAGTGTCTTTGTCAATATTTTGTTAACCAATTTACTTGTTTCCTGTGCTCGTCTGCCTTAGTCCCCGATAAGCCTACTGACTTATTGTATTTAACGCATGTTAATTGATAGAATTCACTCTGTCACCTTTGTCCCTTGTACAAATTTGTACAAGTCCTTAAAAGGGTTTGTTCTATAGGTTCTTGGATTGACCTGTAGTTGTCCAAAAAGACTCTGTCTTTTGCGATCCAATGTTTCGCAATTCTTTATTTTATTCTTAATAGTTTTACAATTCTCATTATTCTTTCAATTGAATCCTGTACTTCATATTCGATTTTTACTAGTTCCTCCGCTTCTTCTTTAAAAACTTTTTCTGTTAATGTTTTAGATTTCTCATCTTGCAATTTATATTACCTTTTCAATCATCTCAACTTTTATGTATTTCTTTACTTCTGATTTATTATTGATAAATACTTCGATTCGTTCTTTTTCTTCTTACTTTTTTCTTCTATTTATTTCACAGATTCCTACAGTTTTCTTTTATTCTATATATTTCTCTTTATAGCCCGTTTTCCATTCCATCTATTTTTCTACTTTTCTGTTTTTTATTATTATTATTTTTTTTTGTCATCGGGTTTCTTTTTTTTTTCTTAATAACCTCTTCTCCATCTTCTATACTTATTATCATATCAATATATGTTTGAACAGCATAACGAACTATCGAGTTTTTGATCCAATTAATGACTCATTGTGCATATCTGTCTGGTTTATAACCAACTGGCACATCAAAAATAAAATGCATGTCGAGCGTTTGTCATCGCCTGAAGAAGCATTGAAGCATTTAAATTACTTGTTTTCGAAAGTTCCTTGCTCAGAGTGGAAAAAGTATTTCATCGCATGCAAAAGCGTAAATATTTTAAGGGAGGATATTTTAAAAAGCAATAAAGTATTTTTCATAATGTAATTTGTGTTCTGTTTTACATTTTCTGCGAACTGTAGTACTGCTCCTCGTATCTGTTTATAATAGTTCTAGTAGTACTTAGTACTTTCATTTTAGGTTGTAAAATATTGTCCTGAAGGTATCGGACTCTCTCATTTAACTGGCGGATGTAAAGGACTAGGAAGTGTTGGCTTGGATATTTATAGTACCGCAGATGCAAAACTTAGATCATCTGTAGAGGCGAATCTAACATATCATCTAACGGATTCTTTAAAAAGAACATTGTTAGAACAAAATCCGAAATATTTAAGCACTTACGGTACCAATTCAAACGTGACATTATTATTCTATTGAATAATTACGATAGTTTTTGTAGATATCGAAAATGACGTAATGTTGATATTGTCTAAATTGGAACTTAACGGTTTTGGTTTGAATAAATCCGTTTTAAAAAGCATTCTTGACACATTAAAAACGCAAATAAGCATCGTAGAGAAGAAGGCCTTTTCTTTAGCTGGAAGAAATTTCAATTTCGCTTCAAGTGTTGACGTCGCGAAGGTTATAGGTAGGTGTAAAGTTAGCTACCATTACGAAGTTGTCGATGTGTTTTTCAGGAATGTTCAGAGGCAGGAAAGTGAGTACTAGGAAGCAAATTTTAGAAAAGAATCAACATCCTATATCCGAATTGGTTTTGCAATGGAGAAAATTGCACTCAGTCCTCACCAAAACTATCTATCCGTTGATCCAAACCAACACTATCGATCGAATACACGGTTGTTACATCACGCACACAGCTACAGGTCGTATAAGTATGCACGAGCCGAATCTACAGAACATCAACAAGGATTTCGACATATGCATTTCGACAAAAGAAAATGTCAACATAAGTTGTAGGGACGCTTTCGAAGCACCCGAAGGATTCAAATTAGTATCCGCGGATTACTGTCAATTAGAGTTCAGGATCTTGACGCACTTTTCTCAGGATACGTTGTTACGTAGGATATTGAACGAACCTGGAGATGTTTTTAAAATGATTGCAGCCAAGTGGAATAATATTGAGGAAGAGCAGGTAAACTCTAAAATTTGTAAAATATATTTACTCTTTTACAACTATTTAAGCGTTCGTTTATTCCGATTAGTGTCAGTTCAACATGCTGAAGTGACAATTAATAACATCCTAAAAACTATGCTGATGTCTAGCTCCAACTCCTTACTAACTAAACCCACCTTATATTTAGTTCGACTTCTTTAAGTGGTGTTTGTTCGACTGGCAGAACCTAATTAATTAAAAGTCAATTATTGCATTAGACTGAAATTGCTCGATACCAAGGCGTAGTGAAATTTTTGTTCGACTTGTAAGCGCTCTTGCTCAAAGTTCGAATTATTTGGAACTGTACTTTTTTTCAGTGCCAGTGTCATTTTAGAGGTTAGGAATTATTTAATATTTTTAAATATATTGCCATCTTTGTCTTTATTATTAATAAGAATGGAAAATCTTTGAAATTAATAGATTTAATTTTTGATTTGGCAACTATAAATAAATATCGTTAAAAATGTGTTAGCAACCTGAAATGTCAAGTGCTAACTGTACCAGTCGAATAGCGATAAGATGCGCTACACCAATGTTGAACTCTAGCTCGTGCTTGCTGTGTGCCCTGCTAGATATAAATTTGAATTATAAAAATGCTGCCCAAAATCAATTCAGAACTAAAAGCGCTTTGTCATCGAGCAAGAGCATTTGAGTCGAATCCGCTATTACTTTGACATTGGTAAATATTTTAGCACGCCACTGGCGCACCTGTTTTTAGAAAAGACATGCGCAAGCTTCACATGTACAGGCAATTTTTATTATGCAAGATGATGAAGAGAGTTCAGAAAAATGGCAAGTTTACATGTTATTTTACCTTTGTCGTCTTTTGTAAATACATAATAGGTCTGTTCGGGTTCTTTAAAATACAATGAAAACTATCAGAGGACTAGTTGACCAGTGGACAGTTTAATAGTTGTGTGCGACGTATACTTTAGAAATGAACTGTTCCACTAGTTCTCGGACGGTTTGCATCAAGTTTTAAGGAAACCCGAACAAACCTAATGTGTAGTAAAAGTTGTTTTAAAAATAAAAAGATTCAGTCCACTTAATCTAATTTAAATATAAAAGCCGTTTTATTAATCAGAGTTTATTGTTTATCTCTCACAGATCCTTGTGATACAAAAAGAGAAAATAATCCTTTATACCACTAACTGAAAAGCGCAACACATGACAATATATTCCGTTCTGCTATCTCAATGGTTGAGCTCATGTGTCGGCTGGAAAAGTTCAACGGTTTTTTTATTTCGCTTTTATTTATAATAACTTATTTGAAAATGACGGAGATCATACCAATTGTAAACCTGGTGACAATGAGACCAGGGCCACGTTAATCTCTTTAATTTATGAAGTGATTTGGATCAAATTTGAGACAAGCATACTAGACATAATTTCGAATTGCCACTTATACTAAAACAAAATGGCGAACTTCCGATTTTACCAGAAAAGTTTGATTTTTAAATGGATCATGTTAAATACTATTCACTAGAGTTAAGAACTTTTCTGCTAGTCAGTTTAGATATGGTTTAGATTAAGTTTATTTATATAGTTAGTTAATGTTGAATTGTCAGTTTTGAAGGTCTGTAAAAAAAATAAAGTCAGCTGCAATAGTTTACCAAGTCTTTGGACTTTTATTTAGCCTGAAAACTCTGCCGATGTTCTACAAGCACCTTGTATATTTTTGTTTTTGTTTTAATCTACGCTTCAAATTACATAGGTACCAGAGTGTTGCTAAAATTTCATTTTTCCCAAACAAATTTTTTTTAGGTGGAAGGGAATGAATTGGAAAATAATGTTCTAATAGCCTCGAATAACTCGAAACAGAAGCTATTTTACCAATTGAGTCAAAAATGCATTTTTAACGCTTTTTTTACCAAAATATCACTTTTAAATGGCATCTTCGTAACTTTGTGTGGAAAAAAATTAAATTTCGCAACACTATCCATGTGTAATTTTTGAACATATTTAAAAAATAAAATATTCATTTAAAAAATCAAACTTAATGGCATTTTCGGTCAAATCGGAAGTAGGCCATTTTGTTTAGGTATAAGGATCAATACGAAATTGTCTAGTGGGTGTGTCCCAAATTTGATCGAAATATTAATAAAAAAAAAAAATCCGACGAATTGGAAACCTCTTTCTTTTTTGAAGTCGGTTAATAAAATATAAACGTGGCCCTTGTCTCATTGTCACCCGGTAAGTAACAAAAGAAAAGTGGTCTAATTAATCTCCAGATGAAAGTACAATGACATAAAATGGTTATGTTGGGTATTAAAATTTTTCAAAGAAAACAAATTAGAAAACATTACAAAATATTTGATGTGTCCAATAGAACATGACTTTCCTATAGTTATTAAATGTATTGAGCACGGCCTTTTTAATTAAAAAGTGTTTAGATTCGTAAGTGAGGATAAAAAGTTTGCACACACATTTTATTCGAAACATTTTTTATATATTCATTCTGAAAAAAATTCGAATTATACACAGTTCCTCAAATTAAAGCGCCACTGAAAAGTGTTCCCCTTTCTCTCTTCGACGGCGAAGACCCACACATTCATTGTCATTGACAGATGACGTCAGATTTGTGAACTTTCGAAACTATCCTATAATCCAACATTCATTTTTTTATATTCATTATTTTTAACTGATATGTTGAACTTAATAATGATATGTATGAAAAGACAGTCGAAAATGTTCGAAAAAAAGGACTTTCAATATTGATTTTTCTTCTTTTTATATAAATTGCTTTCATCTGACATTATTTTGTAGCATGATTTAAAAAAATAATGATGACATATCTGGAAAGACAATGGAAAATGTTCGAAAAAATGGAGTTCGCAAAAAAATACGAGTATCGCAACTCCTGGCCTTTTGAGTAATTGAACTAATTTTTGTAATCGGATTTTAGAATGAATGAAATTTTTGGAAGGTGAATTGAAAATGTAATAAAAATCGTAAAATGTTGCGTTTTATCAAAGTTCTTCAGATTATTAATATATTTGTCCGTCTTGCTGTTATGAAGCCGTTCAGGAAGTTTGGCGTATACAGGGTTTACAAAATCCAAAAGTCGATGTACTGGGGACTATTTGAATTAACCCAATGTTTATTTAATTCTATACAGAGTGAGGTTAATATGGAACGCTCCAATTATTTTGAAAGCTATTACCATATTTATGAAATTTGTTTTTTTGGAGTTGTATAATACAAGGTCTTCAAGGTGGTATTTACTTTGTTGTAAGATCTTCCGTTTTTCAGAAAATATAACGAACTTTGTTATTTCAAAATCTAGCATAAATCGGAAATTATTACATTTAGGTACCTATGGAAAACATTACATGAAAAATATTTCGAATTTCTTAAGCAATTTATAAAAAAATCATAAAATAGTATTATCGCTCACTTCCTGTTGTTCCGATGCGAGAGCCAACTTAGTAGGTAAATTTTACTTTCAGGTCACAGATAGCATACGGCAAAACGCGAAACACTTATGTTACGGCATCATTTACGGAATGGGCAGTAAAACGTTGGCGGACCAACTGAATAAACAAGAAACCGAAACGGTAGAGTTTATGGAGACGTTTAGAAATACCTATCCCGGCATAAAGGCTTTTATAAAGCAAACTATTGAAAACTGTAAAAAATGCGGCTATGTGGAAACTATTAATGGCAGAAAAAGGTTTTTAATGCATATCAACGAGACTGATCAGACTAGGAGAGGTAAGTCGTTTGGATATTTTGCTTGGACATACTTTCAACAGAATTTATAGTACCTAATTTTGATGTATTTAAAGCGGGACGTCAAAATAAAGTTGGTAGGGTCAGATTTCAATTAGAAGAACACCGCTACGTCATAAACATTACTTCGAATTTCGAATACATATTGTCTATAACTATCAATAAATATAAGTAAGTTGGTAGGTATAAAACAATATTTCCTATATTCCTATAATATTAACCCTATAATATAAACAAACAGTAGGCGGCGATAACCAATTAATTACTTTGTCAAATGATGACGTAGCTGTGTTCTTCTAATTGTAATCGAACCCTAACTATAACGATGTCACTGTCATCTGTCACACTTTAGTAAACTTTTGCCGCGTTTGAGAAACCACATCGGATGCATTTTTTACATCTCGAACGTTTTTTTATCCACATCGGACACATCTGTCCCATTACATTTTCGTATACTGAATCACGTGATTAAAGATTTTTTACATCTCAGATGCATCCGATGTGGATTCTCAAATGCGGCAAATAATGGGCGCGTCCAGCTGACGCAACAGTTGAGTATAGTATAAGAAATATTTTTTTATACAAAACAGTGTAATTGACAAAAATCTGTATATTACATAATATTTCATAAAATTCTTTTATCAAACAGATCTTTTTCTTTCAAATTTTCCGTCACATTGCAAGTGACTAGCAATCAAGTAAGTATTTCTGGCCTTGATAGATTTTAGATACCATGTAATCCAGAAGCCAATTAAATAAGTTCCACTTCTTCTGTTTCTTCAGAATTATCAGCTGCAAATGCTTCGTTGTAATCTAAAAATAAAAAATCAATATTACATATTTATTCCTAAACAAAACAAAAAACAACCAAAAATACTCTCCACTTACCCCTACTTTGGATCTCACGATCTTCATAGTAAACATCATCTTCTATATTTAGTTCGTCTAACTCGAAATCATTTCCATTGAGAATGTTAGATAAATTCATTTAATTGAACGGTTTTTCTAATAGCGCCTGCCAATCATGATGTACACTGTAATGTACATAGTTATAAATCTTTATACTATTAAAATTTTACGACTTTTCTAAGATACCAATAATTCTTTACTTACCTCAAATCACAATCCACCAACAAAAACATATAGCAACCAGATAAACAAACAATAAATTTAATTTATACTTAAAACAAATTGAAGGTTGTACGCATACGTGACAAAATCTGTTGTCTAAATGGTAGCATTACACAAAACAATGCAACGCATATCTTAAAATACAACACTACAGTATTCCATTTGACTCGCTGTAAATTTATTTATAAAAAGTCTATTACTAGCATTTGAAATCCATGTACACTACAGTGTACGCCGCGCCGGGTCGGAAAGGGTTTTAAACTGTAATTTAAACTTCGTGAACCAAACGTCTAATGGATTCAACTCAGACCTCAGCGTTACCTTATAGAATGACATTTGAGATAACTCACTTTTGCTTGAACCTTAGTCTGAATACGGTAAGGAATAAGGTTGCCGTATTCTTCAAGTGAGAAGTGGCGATAACATTACATCCTTACTTAAGTAAATTTAACACAAAATCTAGTTGCATATAAATTTTAATCAAATTTGGCGACCAGTTTCTGCTAATCAACCTTAGGTCCTGAAATAGATGACATTGACTTTAACATTTTCAAACTTCTAACGAAAAACAACAAATTGTATAATAATTTAAGAACGTTCAATGTAAACAAAGAACAACACTAACCACATTTAAATTTTTGGCAAGTATGACATTTGATAAATTGTTTCCTTGCTTTGTTTAGAAATGACGTCACACTAAACTATTTTTAGGACAAGCCGAGCGGCAAGCGGTGAACACAATAATTCAAGGTTCCGCAGCCGATTTAGTAAAAGTGGCGATGATCAAGGTGGAAAACGAATTAGAGCAAATCTTCCACAAGACGAAGAGCAAACCAAAAATGGTTTTGTATCTGCATGACGAGTTAATGTACGAAGTACCGAACAAATATTTGAGGAAAGTGGCGAAAATCATCAAGAAAAACATGGAGGATTCTATTAAACTTTCGGTGCCTTTTCCAGTCAAGTTAAAGGTCGGAAAATCATGGGGAGCCATGACTGAATTTTCTTTATGATAGTCTACCTTATATCAGCGTGTCTTGGCTATATGATGAATGTGGGAATAATATGGTCTGTATACAAGAAAAGGTAACCAAGTCCACCGATAGTAGTTTTGAGTTATTAGTATTTTAATGATTTGCTTATGATTTTAAAATCAAATGAATTATTTGGTCATTATGGAATTTTAAATTGTAAGCATTTTTATGACATTTTTTAAGTTGTTCATTATTTCCTGATAAATAATATTGAATTTAAGGTACATAGGCATTACAAACTAAAAATGTAAAATGTTGGACTTGGTCATCTTCTCTCGTATACCGACGAATAATGAATTTAAATTTATGAAAGGTCGAAATGCAAAAAATAAATTAAGTTGAATATTGATTTTAAATTCTTCTAGTTACTATTAATATTGCTAATAAAATACTTAAAAGGAAAAATAAACTGAATTAAATCTGAAGCTACTGGGGGATGAATTCGTAATAAATTTCTTGAAAATCAATTTTTTTTATATACATTTTTTTATTTTTATATATTAATGAAGGGTCTGAATTAAATCTGGAGATATTGGAGGATGAATTAGTAATAATTTTCTTGGAAATTAATTTTTTTATATTCATTTAATTTTATTATTATTATTATTATATATTACAGAAAAGTCTGAATTTAGTCACTTTTAATGATGTAAAGAAAATAGTTATTTTATTATTAGTTCTTTGTTATATTTATTTTTACTATCAATTATTATTTTTTATTAAGTCAAATGTAATTGTAATTTATTTTATTTGTGAGTAGTGAATTCAAATTAAATAAATATATCTAATTTCAAGTATTTTTTTTGTATTATTAAATTTAGTCGCATCCACCAAAAGGTTATTAGCGACGGAACAATACATTAATTATAAATCTAAATTTCATATAACTTTTAGATAGTCAATAATGTTTTTGAGATTGATTTGATATTTTGGACATTCGATTAAAAAATGATTTACGCTGTTGACGACACTGCACTCTTCACATATTGGAGGGTCACTATTAGAAAATAGGAGTGCGTAAATCTTGTATGACCTAGCCGTAAACAGGTGATAATTATTTGCACTCGTCTGTTTAATGTCGAATATTGCCAAGGTGTAATATCATTTTTAATTTAGACCGACTATGTTGCCACTCACGAGAGCACATACACAATATTTTCTTTTTGAAGAACGATTTAAGATCATTCGCGACACTGTGAGACTATTTCCGACACTTCACTCGTTATTGCATTACGCTCACTGTTACTTGCACAATACTAAATTTATAATCAAAATGTAAGTATTAATCAATGTGTAATTTTATTACATTGACATATATCCCAGCAAACATTTTGGTGTAATTTGACGTCGATACTACCTAAATTATATATAATAAATTTGGTCGCAAAATTAGATTTAACCATAATTAAGTAAAATTTACGTTGGATTCGACATAAGTGGAGAATAAGACGACGTCGAAATTTGGTTTTATTTACCAAAATAGGTAGAATTACATCTAAATCCACATTGTAGTAGCCCAGTACGTTTGGTTAGTAATACCTCTCTAGGGAAATTTGACGTCAGTATAACGTTAATTCGACGTTGATTTAACTAAGTTTAGGTAGAAACTACCAAAATATTTGCAGAGGACGTATGCCTCTAAGTGTACGAAAAGAAATTTTATACTTATTTGGTATTTTTATTTATATATAAGTAGAAATATTGTAAGAAGTCACCAACACAACTAAAACATATACCTAATTCACATGAAAGATTGAAAATAAATAAATGTCGGTGACAAAAATATATGTAATGTAATTGCGGTGAATATACAGTTCACGCTTGTTGAAATGAATGCGAAGAAAATTTTGTCGTGCATGTTAACAGTTCTACTTAGAATAATAACAATGCCCTTCCAAAATACTCTCTAATTAAAAGAATATAAGAAAAAAATATGATCGTGTAAAAAAATAATAATATGAGCTAAAACTATGTTACGTTTGTTGTGTATCACTTTAGAAACTCAATAATGTTTCGTTTTTCGGTATTTTCATTCGTATGTTTTAGTTATGGTCATTTTAAAAATTTTAAATTTGGAATCGTACTTCAATTACGTTAAGAAAATATGGCGTATTGTGCGAATTCGACCTAAAAGTTATTATGACTAAGGAAATCTACGTATTTTACAAATACCTTTTTACTAAGTTGAATTAACTTCAATTTCACGACATATTAGTCAACTTTACCTATTTAAAGAAATAATAACTTATAGGTTTTATAAAAAATTTACCTATAGGTAAATATAACATATTTAGGTCACGTTGTTCTGCACTTAAGATTTTAGTCGTTTGACTTTACGATAACAATCGGAAGTATAACGATATGATTTATTATTTTTCGAACTCATTTTATTAATTATTTTTCGCACTCATTTAAAGCTCTATCTACACCACACGTAAATTAAGATTACGACTGTAATGGTTTTTTTAAAATGGCCGAAATTCTTAAGAATAATGACGAATACAGTAACTGAATAACTTAATTGTTAAAATAACCTAAATAATATAAATTTTACAAATAGGTCATGTATGATTTTTTTAAATTGGTGGTTTTTAGTCGAATTTACTTTGTGGTAGATTTTTCAGGTAATTGCTACAACAAAGTTAATAAATATTTCTTCAAGATGACTTATAGGTCAACTAAATGAGTATTCGACTATTTGGTTGAAATTAGGTAGATAAACAGGTAGAATTTTGCTACGATCTCGACCTAATATTACTTTAAAGGAGAGTAAATAAAAATTACGTAGAATTTTTAACCAAATCTACCTAGTTGGGTATTCTACTATAAAGACGATTTTTAGTTGTCAAACAGGTAGATATTACCTAAATATGGCACCTAATTTTACTACAAAGGAAATTTAACTTTGAAGTAATTGTTGGTTATTTTTTTAGTAGTTTTTCCCTTGATGATATGGTTAAAGTTACTTTTAAGCAGATTTGTGTAAAAGGTAGAATTCTTGGTATAATTTACGTAAATTTAAATATAAATTAAAACCGTTTGGTAAATTTACATTAGAGGTATATTTTTCTAGTCAATTTTACGTAATAATTACCTCAATAAGTAAATTCGTCTTTAACAAAGTCGAGTTATAACTAATGTTATAGAAAATGTTTGCTGGGATATACAATCAAAAATACATAGCAAACATGATAATAATAAAAATGAACATAGTGAATAAGTAATAAGTAGTCGAGTATTTTAGCTGCTGTTAGTAACACTCACACTAATCTGCTGTCTCGTTGCCTTCAATTCCGATGTGGGAGGGTATCCAAATGATGTGTATGTATCTTGAGTGTTCTTGAGCCTGCAGTAGTTCGGACTTTATCATTTTTTCAATGGGGGTTTTCGGGTATATATGTTGCAATGCTAGTATTGCACTAAGACAGTCTGAGAGTGTTAAGCTTTTGGAAATATTTGATCTATTTAAATGCTGAAGAGATTTGTACTTGCTTATTGTATTGTTTTTACCTACTTTTATGAAAAAAAAAATTAAAATGTATACGTATATTTGATATGCCAAAATTACAAAATATCGCCCTAAAATTCACGAATTATACGCAGCTAGCGCTAGTATCGCTTTTTCGTCCCCAACCATGACTTCGCACTGAGCCAATAGAAGCTACTTTAGCAGATATGTATATTATAGTTATTTCTGTATATAGACCGAGTGATGGGACATTAAGTATATTTTTCGAATGTTTGAATGTTTATTAACTAAAATTGTAGATGGGGAAAAATTATATTCATTGCAGGTAATTTCAATATTGAATTAAAAGATGAAAACGATATAAAATCTAAATTATTGGCTGTAACAAGCTCTATTAATCTCCGTCACGTAATACAAGAATAACTAGCTGTACTGGAAGTTGTATAGATAACATTTTTACGATTTTCAAGAAAATTATAACACTGAAGTAATTGACATTCACACATGAGAGTCATCAGACCATAGTGCACAAATAATATAATTTAAAATTGAAGTCAGCAAACCAATTAGTAGTGTATATAGAAGATGTTTCAGTGATGAAAGTTTAAATAATTTTATCAGTCAACTTAATGATCAAGACTAGAGCGAGATTTATGATTTTGAGGTTTTAGAAGTTGATGAACAGTAGAACCTGTTCATGAATTATTTTTGTGCTTTGTTCAATGAATGTATCCAAATTAGATATATTACTAATACTATATAGACATAATCCGGTTTTAAAAAATGAAAGTAAAAAAAGAGTATAATTTGTTGGTTAAATCTAAATTAGAAAACTTTAAAAGGAGAATAAATAACTCTGATAACAAAACTAAATGTATGTGGAGTATATGTATTGAAATTACCAGAAGAGGGAAAAGTAATTGTTGTAATGTTGAAGAAAACCCACAAAAAATTGCTAATGATTATAATGCATATTTAACATCAATAATATTCCAGAATTAATGTCAAAAGCTAACTATATACCATTTAATTGTAACATTCCTTATAATTTAGAGTCCATGTATTTCTCTAGACTCTCCCCAACCAACGTTGTAGAGTTAGGAAGAAAAATCAAAAATAAATACACGTCTGGTGAAGATGAAATTCCAGGATTTGTAATTAAAAAAACTATAAATGTTATTAGTGAGGTTTTAGAATATCTTATCAATAAATCATATTTCTCACTCAATTAAAATTGGCTATAGTTAAACCACTATATAAAGAAGGCAATTCTCAGTTGTTAGAAAATTATTGACCTAAGTAGATTTTCTACATCATCTAAAATGGTGTTGACAGGTAACTTAAATATAGATTATCTCAAGGATGATAATAATAATAATAATAATAATAATCTTTATTATTTTCAATACAATTTTTTTTTTATTTCCATTACAATATCGGTATAACAATACAATGTATACATTGAAAATAAAAGGCGAAGTTCAACTTTTATGAAGATATACTCCATAAAACTTGCTCTTCCTCTTAACCTTAAAATCGTACATGCACCTTAGGTACTACAGAAAAAGTTTATGAACAAAAATATAAATTATAATATACAGTTTTTTTAAATTTAATTTTAATTCTAGGTAGGGCGTTAGAAACAAAAAAAAAATATAATACTGTTATGTATTTTGATGATAAAATAAATTTTCTTTTAATAATAATCTAAATTTGTTAGCCTTTTGATTTACAATTTTTTGGGAGATTCCATTCAAAATAGAGCAGATCTGATAACTAAATGACCGTCGAAATATTTCAAGTTTGAAAGAAGGAGTTGTTAAGGAGCCCTTATTTCTAATATTTAAATTATGAACGTCTGTCCGAAATGTTATTTTTCTATGGAGGTAGGACGGTTTTTTTGTATACATAATTTTGTAAAACAAACAGGCAGAGTGCAATACTCTTCTATTGTCCATGTTTAACCAACCAATTTCTTTTAGTTTATGAGAGATTCTGCAACGTCTTCGAATCCCAAATATTAAACGGAGGCAGCAGTTTTGTATTTTTTGAATTTTTTTCTTATATTGGACAGTTAAACATGGACCATAGAGAGCATCAGCGTAATTAAATATGAACAAAACTAGTGATTCACAAAGAGTCTTTTTTATTTGATGTAAAAAATGCCTGATACCATAAATTGATTTAAGAGCAATATACGCTCGTTGGAGTGTTTTATTTATATGTTTCTCAAATCGCAATTCTGCATCCATTATTACCCCAAGATTTCTAGCTTCCGTTACTAAATTAAGACTCATCATCTATTTTAATATTGATTTGATTGCAAATTTTTTGACTATTGACTCTAGATCCAAACAAAAGTACATTTGATTTACTGGGATTTATAACTAAGCAGTCATCTCTGGCCGAGTCGATAAATGTACAAAGATCTTCATTAATGGCATTACAAGCACTTTCTATCATTTGGGGAGGAAAACTGTAGTAAAGTTGGGTGTCATCCGCGTATAAGTGGATGTTGCAGTTAGATAGTACTATTAGAATAAAAACATTATTAATTTCCTTTAAGTATGCATGTTAAGGAACCAACAAAGATAACGGAATGTTCCGAAACGTGTATAGTGAATCCTAGCGGCCTGTCCGATCATGAAGCCGTTTTAACTTCGATATCTCTTGAGCAAAAGCTTGCTAAGACTAATTCTCATCATGGTCGATTGTGTAGTAAATCTAATTATGGAAAATTTCATTCAGTATGTAAACATTTTAGTTGATACAGTTGTTTTACTGGTATACCTCTTTTTGACCATTTTTATTTAAACTTAAGCAAATTTTTTAATGCGTCTTTCCCTTTTCAAAAAAAAAAAATTAAGCAAAAAAAGCCGTTATTTCAACTGGTTTAAGATGTTCATAAAAAAATATGAGATTTCTCAATTATATAAAAAAATGTACTCAAACAGAATTATTTTTCAACTACTATTATCGCTACATAACTTTATATATAGAACACTTATTAGAAAAGCTAAAGATATGTGTTATCATACAAGAATTGAGAGCTCAAAAAATGAGGCAAGGGAAACTTGGTCTATTATTAATGAATTGAGAGGCAAAAGTATCCATAAATTATGCAATGCAAATATAAATCCTAACGATTTCAATACATTTTATTGCAATATAGCTGAAAATCTAACAACAAATCTAAATAGAACAATTTGTAAAATCGTCACCAATTAAATACTCATTTTTCTTACGAGAAACAAATTCCTTTGAAATATTAAAAGTTTGTAATGACATAAACAACAAACTGCATCAGGATATGATGGAATGTCAGTAAAAAATATTTCAATACTTACTTACCTCTGCATTAGACGTTTTATACCTTTTAATAAAAGTTTTACTGAAGGTACTTTTCCTGTCCTAAGCCGTCTAATTTTAGTCTCATATCTCCAATTCCGACACTGGGAAAAATTATTGAAAAACTTGTAAAAACTTGACTAGTTAGATATCTAGACTAAAATAATGTACTGGACATAAATCAATTCGATTTTTAACACAACAAAAACGTATCGGATGCTGTTTCTTCTTGTTTGGAATTAGCCTATACAAGTATAAATTTCAACGAGGCCGTAGCAGCATTATTTTGTGATCTGACTAAAGCTTTTGACTGTGTCAACCACGGAGTACTGAGAAAGCTTGAAGTTTTAGGTCGCAAACAGTTAATCTAAACTGTTGCAGACTCGAAAAGAAGTGACATAAAATGGGGTGTCCCTCAAGGTTCTGTTCTTGGACACACCCTGTTTTTAATTTATAAATGATTTAGGTAAGTTAAATATCTCAGGAAGTTTCACTCTATTTGCTGACGATACTACTATCTTGTGGCATAATAAAGACGTCAATATTCTTTATGCAAATATTAGTAATGACCTCAAATCTTTTAAAACATGGTGCACTGCAAATTTTCTATTAAATTTAAAAAAACAAAAATACTAACCTTTAAATTCCTGATATTTTAATAGATATAGATACTATAGAAGCCATGTACTACAAAATTTTTGGGTTTAAATATCGACACTGATTTGAAATTCAAATCTTCATGTTGATCCACTTTTAAAAAACTCGCATCGGGTTGTTATGCCATTAGAACTACCTCTCATGAATTAAGAGTTTGTGCAGCAAAAACAGCATATTATGCGTTAGTTGACTCCCATTTACGTTATGCAGTTCAGTTTTGTGGAGTCTGTTCTACTGAGTTATTGGGTACTCTTTATAATGCAGAAACGGGCAATAAGGTTCTTAGGATTAGTTTCATGTAGACCGCTGTTCTTAAAACAAGAAATATTAACAACTTCATTATTTATCTTAGAAACTTGTTGCATGATCAATAAGAACAAGTCGAAATATAAATCGAATATATCCCGTGTAACTCGCCAAACGGATAACTTGAAGTTGCCTATTCCCAAAACTGAACTTATAAGAGACCCTAATGGTATCAAGAGGTACAACAGACTATCACATACTTTGACATACGTTGAGTCACAGAATTATTTTAGAAAGCTGGAGTGCGTTTAGAAACCTCGCACGGCGCGTCTGACCACATACATTAGAGTAGGGTCCAGACGCGCCGTGCGAGGTTTCTAAATGCACTCCTGCTCAGGAGATTTCTGTTAACTAGGCCCTATTATGATATTACAGAATTTTATAATGACGAGATATATAAAGAGAGAGAAATATAAAAAGAAGCAGGGCTGCTGTATCTACAGAAATATTAAATGAATATTTCGACAACTTGTCGACCTCACCGAAGGATATTCCACCCGAAAATATTTTAAATTATGATGAAAGTGGGTTTGCCTTATATTGTTTATAAAGCGGATCATATCTGGTGCACCTGGACCTAAAGAGGACCACTAAATGCTCGCTACAATCGGAGTAAATCGGGATGGTTTGATATGACATTGTTTGAAGATTGTTTTTAACAGTTCTACCCTATCTTAAAAAGTTAAATGTGCCTAAAGTACTATTGGATGATAATCTTGTGAGCCACATTTCGATTAACGTTTTGGAGGAATGTGAAAATAACGAAATTCGATTCATCCTACAGCCACTCAAAAGTACCCATCTTACACAACCACTTGATGGAGCTGTTTTCGGCCGATCAAATCGCAAAACATTAAAGCAGGATTCAAAGCTGCGAGTTTGATTTCACTTGATCGTGACGCTGCTTTTAATAAAATAGCAAAGCAAGATCGACTTTCAACTGACAATGCCGTTGCAAATTTAATATCTGAGACCCTGAAGAATTTACTTCACGATAGTAGGTTTGGCAAGAGCAAAGAAGAAACAGCAAGTGGTATGAAGAGAAAGAACAAATTGAATGTGGCAGCAGGGCAAAGCGTGTCCTTTGAGAATATTAATCATTTGCAGGATAAAAATAAAGAAAAATCTGAATCGGAAGATGAGATGACAGAGGAATAGTTATCAGAAGAGACATACGATGAAACAAATTACAGTGATCTAGAAATAGATGACTTCACAGTAGTTCAGCTCAAGACGGTCAAAGGACGGAGTCAACGATTTATAGGAAAAGTAATTGGAAAAAATTCATATCGTTGTTCCTACCTTAAATCTTATTCGAAAATAAAAAATTCATATATCTTCCCCACCGTTTTGGACGTAGGAAATTTTGAAGAGAACGAGTTTATAGCAAAATTGTCACCTCCAGAAAAGCTAAGAAGAGGAGGATTATTATTTAATGAAATTGCTTTAAACCAATTTATCCACAATTATTAATATTTTATTTATTTGAGTTTATTTGTTAATTTATTAGGGTTAAAAGCACTGTAATATTAGTATATTTTCAATAAACGTCTACAAAAAAAAAAATAGTTTTAATTTCAAGTTATTTGTTCAAATAAACGTTTTCAAAATAACTTCTTTGCCCCATGACACCTTTAAGAAACATTATAAGGTGTCCAAAGGGTTCAAAATGATATGATATACTTAAAATGGATTAAAACTTCAAAACTTTTTACCCACGGTGAATTGAATTTCAAAATCGTCCCAAGTCACCCAAATCTATGGTACCTAAGTATTTTTTATATTTTATTTAAGCTGTTTGTCCTAAATAACATAAAATAACCTACGCTCAAGGATTCTTTTTGTGGGTGTTACTATTTATTTACCTCGAACGAATTTACCTACATATACATTATTTTTTATATTTTTTTGGTAACTAAAATTATTATATTTTCAAATTCATTAATTACTAAAATAAAACCCTGTACATAACTACTGGGGATGCTGTATGATTTTTCTGTTGATTTTGAGCTGGAAATAGAAACAAGCAAAAAAACATTAATTATTTTATCAATATATATATTAACGACTAATTTAATTTCTTACAAATCCTACTATAACACGTTTTCTAACATTAATCTTCATCCATTTCCGCATCATCCTCGTCCACCGCCGTCTCTTCATTGGTCGTAGAAGAAACCTCTTCTCCTTTGCTAGCATCGTCATTTGGTAGGCTTTGCATCTGTGTCAAATACTCTTCTTGCAATTGTTTGATTTGAATCTGGAACTCCGCGTATTTCTTTTGAAGCACCTTCTCGCGCTCCATCTGTCTAGTCACGTCTTCAGTTAGAGACTGAAAACAAATAAAAACATCTTAAACTCGATAAATTATTACGCCAGGGAATTTTAATCATCGTCATTTATTTTGTGGAATCCTAAAGTGAAGAAGAGAAACTATAAATGTACCTGTATCCTTCTAGGTAAGGCGCTCTTCTCCTGCTCTTGCAAGAACTTGAAAGTGTTCAACTCCAATGCAGACTGATCGATATTCTCATACATATCCTGCAGCTGTTTGATCAAAACTTGCGCTCTTGACTGATAACCGCCTGTTAAAATCTTCAATTTCTTCTCCATTTTGGCCGCGCGCTTGGCCTCTTTCGCCATATGGGATCTGTTCTGTTCCAAACGCTTTTCGGCGGATTCTAATCTATCTTTTTTGCTGGCCAAATTTGCTCTAGTGTATCTGGTTTGATTCGGAAGATAAAGAACTTGGCTTAGGCATTCTTCCCATACCTGAAAAGACAAAACTAGACAAAATACCCTAACCAGTGAATCAAAGAAGGTCGAGGTGGGAGAGGGCTACAATGGCCTACAGTTCAGAGTCCTAAGCAAGTCCAGGAGTAGATGGACATGAGATTTTGACATAATTAGCGAGATTATAGAAGTATCTATAGAATACGGACGTAATGGTAGAGAGAAACCATTTGTTTATTATTATAAATTATGCAAAAATCATGAATGGCGCCGACAATGGAAAGTTTTGTTAAACATAAATACTCCAGTACTTACGATTGCAAAACGATTGTAAAACTTTTAAACCCAGAATTTTTTTTATAAGATGTAATAATGATCTATTGTTTTTTTGGGTAAAATAAATTGTAACCATATATCGTCTTTGCTATTTTGTGTACCAGCTAGGTTAACACGTAATGTAGTTTTGTTTGAGCTTCCACAATATAGAACAAACTATGGTTATTTTAACCCTTTATCTAAAGTTATGCATCTTTGTAATAATTATTATAACTGAGACATAATAGGAACCTGTTACAATGTCTGTTACAATGAATTGAAGAAACAACTCTGTCTATCACGCCCTAGACTCAGGTAGAGCTGTGGGTTCATTTTAATTATTTAACTTTTTTGAATGTTAATTTTGTTTTTTTTGTCATTTTAGTTAGGTTAAGTAGATACTTGTAATATTTTATATTATATATAAATATTTTGTAAAAGGGTATACGCCCGTTTAAATAAATATTGCTTCCTGCAATACATTATAATAATAATAACATACTTGGGTGTAGACTTCTAAAGGCAACTCCCCGTGACTCATGCCATTCTTGACATAATCCATCTCTTTCTTCAACATCCCTTTGGCTACCTCTAAATCTTCCTTTCGGTAAGAACCGTACGGATGCTGTTCCAAAAATGCCAATTGCTGCGCCTGCGACATATTCGTTCTTTTGTTTATGGTAGGAACTGGATTTTTTAGATTGTCAAATTGCAGCATCGTGACCTATAATCAATTAATTAACACTCAGGTCAATATAACTAAAACATGATCAGATATACAGAAGGTTTGTTGTAGCAAAGCCTTTTGTAAGATAAAAATAGGCATATATAATTTAGCTAGTAGTTCAAACGTACCAACCGTTCGTATTTCATGACCGGCACTTACCATTTCGCATTTGATCAACTCCTCGGCCCTTTGAAGATCGGTCAGTGAGTAACTCTCGTGTGGAGGACGAAGCACAGTCAGATTAACATCCTGCGGTCTCGGCAATTCTCTCTGAATCACTTGCGAGCGAGAAGCGAGCTCTTTCGCAGCCTTAGCTTTCAGTTCCTCCTGTTTCCTAGCGTCTATGTCCGCCTGATCTTCCACCAATTGTGCTTGTGCTTGTTCCGGTTCTTCTTGGTCCTCGTTTTCGGGCACGACGATCTCGTAGTCGTTCTTGGGTTGCGGTAAACCGCTCAGTCCCATCTTCAGTTGGTCTTTCATCGACATCTGGAACATTCTGTGTTCGGCGGGTGTGCTTCCGACGTCTAAACCCTCTTCGGGATTAATGTTGAGCTTATCGCGTACCGAAGGCGTCATGTTGGCCTTGCCGACGGGAGTGAGAGCTCCGCTTTTGGGCGTCATGAAACCCGCGGTACTGCCTGGAGTAGCTCCGCCTTCGCTTCTAGTCGTTCGGAAGGGAGTCGCTAGTACCGTGTTGGGAGTAGCGATAGTTTGCGCTTGAGGAAGGACTCCGCTGAAGTCCGAGTTGTGTAGAGGCGTGTTTAGACCGCCCTTGAGGGGCGTGTCAACGTGGGTGAGCGCCATCATGTTTTGGGCTTCTTGGAGAATCCTGAAAGTAAGTCAATTTCTCTATAAGTCGTCTGCATGGTCCTTTCATTTAATTTCGAAACAAAAGTTATATTTCATAGTCTTACCTGTCAGTTTGGGGTGCCGGAGTCCTAGGAGTGGCGGCAGCTTGCGGGGTAAACATGTAATCATTCAAAAGCGTATCCGTAGTTTCTATTCCACTTTCTGTGGCTATTTCTCTGGCAGTTTCACTAGCTTTACCCAATTTGACAACCTGATGCATCTCTTGATCGGAAATTTGCGGTTCAGGCAAAACCAATTTCGACCGCTTCTTCGCCGGTTCCTGGTTTTGAAGCATCGCTTGCGGTATATCGTTCTCCTTCCTTTGCTTCAACTTCTGCTTGTCTTTTTTGCGCTCCCTCTAAAGAACAAAACAACATTAACAATAAATATTGGTCTCAGAAATAGTCTTTGACTTATCGTACCTCTTCTTGTTCGCTTCGGAGCTCCCCGTCCAAATGTTGCTGTCTCATTTTGGAGAAATCCGGAGCCATCGGGTCTAGAGCCTCGTTCGATGTGTCATAGAATCCGATCGCCGGACGTTTTTCGAACGGAATCTCCGCGTTGTAATCGACTCCCCGCTTTTTCTTGCGTCTTGATGTTACTTCGATACCAGCGGCTCTCAATTCTCTACGTTTTTGCAAGGCTGCCAAACGTCGGGCTTCTTCCAGCTGCTTCTCGCGGGCCTGAAAAGATGTTATTGAAGTTTATCGGTCTAAATCATGCATGTGACCGAAAATAATTAATTCCTTAGTAATTAAGTGAAGCTGACTTTGAGCAAAACATTTCAGTCGATGATTTAAAGTTAAGCAATTTTAGGATAAAAACACCATAAAATTTTCATTTTTATCGTTAATATATGTTTAATATAAAAAAAATATTATTAAGAACCATAGTTGGCCATATACAATCGAAATCCAAATAAAAAAATTTAAGAACCATTTTTTTGTTATTATAATTACATTTGATAATCCAATATTTTTTTACAAATACTATACCCATTATTATCATTCACATTTAATGAAGAATTCATGTATTAAGACATTGTTTTAACTTAATATTTAATAGTTTCAAAGAAGGGTAACTACGATAAAGAAAATCATTAAAACCAGCTTATATAACAACAAAATCATTTAAAGTAAATGCTCTTGTTAGTCGATCTATGTATTTCAAAATTAAATTAAGGAAGTATTCTTAATGCCAGTTATTATCATTTTAATGTATTTTTCTCGTTGCAACTATCATAGTTGAAGGTAATTTTCAGGAAAGGTTTCAATTCATTTTGAAGTGTGACACAATGTCGTAGACGTAAGTACTGATTCACTCATAAAAAGTATGCTCGCTCCTCAGGTAAACAAACTCGCACAAATTATCCCCACTCAAATTGGCAGCCGTCTTGTTCTTTCTAATGCGACAGCTCAGTCTGCGTAATATAAAACACAATCTGAATGATTGCTATTAATATGGGATTAATTTTGAATGAATGGATTAGTCTAGTAGTTTCAAATACTAACAAAATTGTTTCTCCAATTTGAGCTGCTATTTTAATCTACAAGAAAATATACAGAACAGTTTTTTGAATTGAAAATTGTTTCTTTAAATTTACCTTTGATTAAGAAGACATATTGAACGTGTATATGTTATTAAGATTTGATAAAATCTAAATAAACTCTTCCGAAACACTATGGTTATGTGCGACGTACGATACCCCTTTCCCCGTCTAGTATATCATGCGGACAGAGGGTGTATTGGTTATACGGTGTGAAGGGCGAGTCTATCTTAGGCATTATGATGTCTATGGATATAGACCTATTAAACGTGTACATGTTATTAAGATTTGATCATTAAATTTTTTTTATAAATTCTAAATAAATCCTCCCTAAACACTAGTTATGTGCGACGTACGATACCCCTTTCCCCGTCTGATTTATCATGTGGACAGAAGGTGTATTGGTTATACAGTGTGAAGGGCGAGTTCTATCTTAGATAATATGTCTTTATTAGAAATTGAGGTGAGTCCTACACCAGTTTTATTTATTAGTTCTAGAGCCGATTGAAAGCGGGACTTCATGTTTTATTTAGGCAAGAGTATTTATATAAATCCTTTTAATTATCTATAATTTGTTTCAGATTAGTGCATTTAAAGGAATTCGCGGAAATGAAGCAATTTGCCAGCTTTGGGGATGTGCCAGTAAAAGTACCATCCAAGTTATTCAACATTTCCAGAATAAAGTATTAAAGAATATAGTCGATGCACCCTGGTATATACTGCCACAATACTGATCTTCATAGTGACTTTAAAGTAGAGACTGTTCAAAATACAATATAAAAATTTGCCAGTAGTCACCAACAATGACTACTCCAACATGGAAACCTTGAGATTATCCAGCTCAACAATGCCAATCTAATAAGACTCGAGAGAACCAAGCCTTTTGAGTTAGTTCAGTGTTGTTAAAGCAGAGTATAGTGCAGTTAAGTGTTATACGTTAACGGTAGTATAAATAGTTAGACTCTAAGGTATACTAGTAATGTTAAAAAATCACCCTGTATTTAAACAAAATAATTTGAATGTTTTTGACAAAATATATAATTTGTAATGTCAATAAACTCTTCCGTTTAAAAGGAGAATAATTTATCTTTCCAGAAGAAGTTTCAGTGTCCAATACTTAACATAGGTTATGGGCCCAGAGATTCTTCAAAAGATCAAAAAGCTTATGCCAAAATTTGTTTATCAGTAAAACCTATATGCTATCCTCATGTAAGGAATGCTCTAACTGCGGCAGAGGAATGGAATAATTTAAATCGTGCATATGAAAATATGGGTATCAGTAGACGGCTTTCAATTAAAAAGAAAACTTTCTCAAATTAAATATATAGATTATAGTACTATGGATCATTACTTAGGGGAAATTATGTCTCTAACTCAAGAACTCTCTGATATTGGTTGTGTTATTGATGATGAAGAAATTGCAGAATTAATGATCATTAGTTTACCGAGCGAGTTCGATCCATTAGTAATGGCTATAGAAGCTACACAAACCAAACTGACCTCAGAATTTGTAAAAGCTCGTTTAATTCAATGTGAATTTAAAAGAAATGAGTATATGATTGCTGATTTGAAGGACAAAGCTTTAGCTGTCAAAAATAAATTCGTTCCCGTTTGTCATCACTGTAAGAAGGAAGGACATATTAGGCAAAGGTGTCCTGAACTAAGAAGGGAGAAGAAAAATAAAAAGAAAGAGTTTAATAATTATTTGCAGCATGCTTCTACTTCACAACAGTCAGGTTCTATATCTCACACAAAAAATAGAGATACAATGTTATTCTCAAATCATACTGCTTTATTTAGTAACACTATTACTAATGACAATTGGATAATTGACTCTGGTTGTACTAGTCATATGACTAATCGAAATAACTGGTTTGTTAATTATTCAAAAAACCAGCCTTCTGAAATTAGCATTGCTAACAATAATAAAATGTATAGTGAAGGTATAGGTGACATTAATGTTGTTCTTAGTAATAGTGATACAAAAACTATAACTAATGTATTGTATGTTCCAAATATTGCAGCAAATTTGTTATCTGTGAGTAAAATAGCACAAAAAGATTATATCTTAGTGTTTGATATTATGTGTCGTGTTTATGATAAGTCAGATGTAAATATAATTGGTTCTTGTAAGTTTACAGCGACACAAGTTAATGGTGTTTACAGATTGGATCAAAAGGAAGTATTATCGTCGTCTAAACTGGAGTCATCAGATAGAATTACTAGAAATAAAGATAATGCCTTAGTATCTAAAACTAGGTCATTAGAAACTTGGCATCGGCGTTGGGGCATCTCAGTTTAAAAGGTATGTTAATGCTTCGTGATTCGCTAGCTACCGGTGTTAATTTTGAAAATGGTGATTTGGGCTCATGTATTCCTTGTATTTAAGGAAAACAACATAATCTTGGTTTTTCCTAAAGGGCAGGCTAAAAGAACGACAAATAAATTAGAACTGATCCACTCAGATTTGTGTGGACCCATGTCTGAAAAAAGTTGGAGCGGTTTCCGTTATTTTATTACTTTTACAGACGACTTTTCTCGTAAAACTTTTATTTACTTTTTACAGAATAAGAATCAAAACAGTGTTTTAAGAACGTTTATTGATTTTAAAAAGTTGGTTGAAAACCAAACTAATTTTAAAATAAAACGGTTTCGTAGAGATAATGGTACTGAATACTGTAATAAGAGTTTCACTGAATATTTTAAGCAATGTGGTATTGTCTATGAAACTACGATACCTTATACACCACAACAAAATGGTGTTTCTGAAATAGAACCATTATGGAGAAGGCGAGAGCCATGCTTCAAGATTCTGGATTAAACAGGAAATATTGGGCTGAAGCAGTTAATACTGCAGTGTACCTTAAGAATGCTTGTCCTACGACTGCTATTAATGGGGCTACACCACAGGAAATATGGACTGGATCTAAAGTAGATTTGAGTCATCTCCGAGTTTTCGGTTGTAGAGCTTATGCTTTAACTCCTCATCAGCAGCGAAAAAAATTAGATCCTAAATCAAAACCATATATAATGGTAGGATATTGTGCTCACAGTAAAACCTATAGATTAGCAGATATATCAAATCCTGGTAAAATCATTAAGGCTAGATCAGTAGAATTTCTTGAAGATGTTAAAGGTAACATATCCAATGTTGTTAATGATACTTTTAATATTCAGTCTGTTGAAAATATTGAGATGGTTAATTGTGATATACAGGAGCATAATATATCAGTTTCAAGGGAAGAATCCATTGATCCTGAACATGATAATTATTGTGAAATACCTGGTGATCACATATCAGTTTCATGGGAAGAAATTGATACTAATCCTGAAAATTCTAATTTTCCTAATTTTCCTAATTTTTCAGACACAGATGATACTAGATTTGAAGAAAATGCCAGTTTACAGCAACCTGCAAACGGGAGGCCTGTGCGTGAACGGCGTTTACCTTTTTGGACTGAAGATTATGAAATGAATTATTTTACCAATATGGCAATGTTAGGTAGAAATGAACCTAACAATTTTCATGATGCTGTTACTTCAGATGAAAGAGAACAGTGGATTGAAGCCATGAAAGATGAGTATAACTCACTTTTATCGCATGGTGTATGGCAATTAGTTGATAGACCAAAAAATACTAATATAGTAAAATGTAAATGGGTTTTCAAAATAAAAGTGGATGTTGATGGTAATTTAGATAAGTATAAGGCTCGCCTAGTCGCAAGAGGCTTCACAGAGCGATATGGCATTGACTATGAGGAAACCTTTGCACCTGTAGTCAGATATTCTACTCTTCGTACATTATTTGCCATTGGAGTGGAATTTGACATGGACATTGAACATGTTGATGTCAGTACAGCTTTTTTAAATGGCGATCTTAATGAAACCATTTACATGGAGCAACTGTCGACTAAAAGGACACCTAAGTAAACTGAGAGTAGTAGAGGATAGTGAGTGCAGATTCTGTGAGGAGGAGGACGAAACCTCCATTCACATCCTAACTGAATGTGTAGCACTCCAGAATCCAAGGGCACTATATCTAGGAGGATATCAAATAGAAGAGGGAGACTTACCTAACTTGAAGCCACTTCAAATCCTACACTTCCTTGAGAAAATAGGATTGGAAGGGTCGCTATA